AACGCCCACAGTGTCACAGAACTTGTGGGAGGGAGATTGCTGAGGGCGCTAGGCTCCTGCCTTCAGAGGGAAACTGGTATGTAAAGACTTGGTTTTGTGTAATTCTAATTTCTTCTCCTTCCATCCAGTTAAGTATACAGTCCCCTCCCTGACAAATAATCTAATGTCACAAATTAGGCCTTTGGGGAAAAGAAGAATATGAGGCATGAAGCACAGCTGTTTTACAAACTACCTGGAACGGGTCTCACAGCCTGACACCCTTTTTGTAACAAGCCAGCTCTCCAGTCGCCAGAGGAAGTGGGCCTGGCGTGGAGAGACGTCCAAGGCAAATCTTGCAGACAAACTGCTGTGTGTGCCCCGTTGTTCTTTGCCCTCACCACGGGGAGGAAAGCGCAGCAAAAACGGTGCCCTGGAATGCGTGGGGAGACGAGTTCTAGAGTGAAGAAGACCACAGCCCCTTTACCCTTCTGAGCAACCCCAAATAAGGAAGTCAGCAAGCATGGGGGGCTGTGGAGTAGGATGCCTGCTGGTGAACCCCAGCTCTGCCACTTACGAGCACTGTGACACTGGGCAAATTAATTAACCTCTGTCTAGTACCTAGTTCTTTTACCCATAAAATGGTGCTAGTAGTTCATCAGTCCATTTGATTCACCATAAAGAAGGATACCGTATTATAAGGATTATATTATATAAACCATTGAAACCACTAACCAGAATGCCTGGTAGGTAGTAAGCACTCACTATGAATTTTTCCAGAAATAATGAGCAACTGTGGGGAGCAGCCATTAAGCAAAATGGAGGGTAGACATTAATGAGTCCTTAAAGTAACAATGTGGAGTTATTTTAAAGGCAGGGATTCTCCAGACCACATGAGTCGGGTCACGGAAAAGCAGAAAAAGGCACGTTCGCTTGACCATTACCTTCCAAAGAGGAACAACCAATTTTTGAAAATCTGGCTGAAAAAATTCCCATGGCTTGTGTATGATGAGATACCGAACCTTATGTTCTGTGGCCTGTGTCGCAAGCATGGAGTGAAGTCCAAAGGAAGTCAAGCGAGTCTCTCTCACGGCACTGACAACTTCAGCACCGAATTTCTCCGTGCCCATCAGCTCAGCAAGGCGCACACCCAGGCTTCATTAATGGAAGCAATGAAGGGTTCTCCAGTGAACAGAGTCTCCTCGGAGCTGACAGTGAGGACCATGGGCAAAGTCACCCTTGGGAGAGTCGAGAACTTGTTCAGATCGTGCCATGCCCTTGCCAAGACTGGACGTCCCCTCGGAGATTTTATCTGGATGTGCAAGCTGGATGACATGAAGGGTGTCGATATTGGCCCCGTATTCAGGACAAAAAAGTCAGCAAGAACCTTTACATATTTTATTGCTGAAGTAGAACGGAGAAATCTGAGAGAGAAACTGGAGGAAATCCCGTTTTTCTCTGTCATCAGCGACGGGCTCTCAGATTCCTTGATGGAGAAAGCTGAACTTGTCTACGTGCAGTTTGCACACGTAGGGAAAGTGCACTGCCAGCTTGTTGGGGTACATACAGCAGAAAAGAAGGATCCTCTCTCTGTCAAAATTGCCATTGAGAAAACTCTGGAGAGAAATCTTCAACTCGGGCTGTCGGACCCAGGCTGGGCAGAGAAACTGGTCGGCTTTGGACGGGATGGTGGTCCTGGCTCAGAGGGAGAAAACAGCGGGTTGGCCCTGCTTTTAAGAGAAATCCAGCCATGTGTGCTGACTGTGTATTGCTTCGCACATCATCTTGAACTATCTTACAAGGCGGTGTTCCAGAGCGTCCCCCTGTACAGCGATGTCAGAGACCTCCTCCACGGCGTCCACCGCTTCCACCACAGCTCACCTCCCCATGAGCGTTCTCTGGTTGCTGTTTGCAGAGGCCTGTGCCTGTGCCCTGCGGTGCCTGCTCGAGCAGGAGGCGGGAGGTGGCTTCAGAGACTACAGGCGGCCCTCCGGAGCTTCCTCAAGGGATACCCTGCCATTGCCCAGCAACTGCGTTCAGTGAGTAATTTTGAAGTACAACTCTCTTTTAGTTTTTCAGAATAGTAGTAGAAAGTATTTTTATTGAGCAATTTGAAATAATAACTTCGAGAAGGTAGACCACTGTTCTACTCCCAACCTGCGTTGCAGACAGGCGAAGGCAGCAGTGACTCCCGTCGTCAGAAAGCCGAGGAACTGCTAGAGATCCTTCTCCGAGCAGACATCGTCAAATTCGTTCACTTCCTGGTGGATGTCATTCATGTGCTTAGCGTTCTGTCCCACGTCAGCCAAAACAGAAATTCTTCAATGGCGGATGTATCTGCTACTCTAAAGTCAACAATGGAAATGCTCAGAATGTATCAAACAAGGTGAGCAGCCAGGGATGAGCCAAGGGACTTGGGAGATCATCTTCCAGGTGCTTTTTCACTGAAGGCTTTACTTGGGGGGATTTTGTTTCTCCCCAGACCAGGGCCCCAAGAACGTAGGGTGGATTCAATCACACACTTTCACGGTAACTGCCTCAAAGATAAGGGAAGCATTTCTGATGTGAGAAACATGGTTTTAACACGTCTTATCAAGAGGCTGCAAGGTTGTTTCAGAGATGCCAGCCAAGATGTGGTGAAGGCAACAGTGATTGGAAATTTTAAATCATGGCCCACAAAGAAGAATGAAGGTAACCTATACGCACTCACTCTGAACCGACAGTTCTTTGAGTGCTTTTAAAAATATATGTGACTATTCGTTGGTGTATTGATGACAGGTTTTGGAGAAAAAGAGGTGTCCATCCTGACTACACATTATAAACCAGTCTTGGAAGCTGCCAATGTGCAAATCAATGAAGTGCTCACTGAGTGGAGCATGTTGAAATCGGAGATTTATGACAGGTGAGCATCACTAAACTAGGTGATATTTATAAATATTGGGTTAAACTTGGGCATCTCAATCTTTTACATTTTTCACTTTCTCTCTTAGATTTCAGAACATCCGCAAACTGACATGGGATTTTGTGAATTCAGTTTGTTTACACAAGTATCCAAATATCCTGATGCTAGTGGACCTTGTGCTGACCCTCCCTGCAAGTTCAGCGGAGGTGGGGCGGGGCTTTAGGCAGATGCAATTCACCAAGTCACAAATGCATGCCAAGGTCAAGGCTGAGAGCATGTCGGATATCCTGATCATTCAGCTGAATTCTCCAGACATTAACAACTTTGACCCCAGGAGAGCTATCCATTTATGGAGTACAAGAACACTGTCTTCAACCAGTGATGCAAGATCTAATTCAGATTGCTCATCAAACTCAGAAAGCCATTATGAAAGTGATTAGTAACATGACAGATGTTGACTCATCATTCAACATAGCAGAAATGAAAAAAATATATTTTCAAAAGCCTGAAACTTATAAGTAAAACAGTCAACAGTCTTCACATCAAATACAAAAGGCATTTGCTATCTTCCAGGAGTACAAAGCAAAAATCCAAAAGTTGGTTTTCCAGTAACTTTCTAATTCTACTTTTATATTTACATGTTCTTTCAAAGTCTTTGGGTGAGAGATGTATATTTCTAAGCAACAGTGTTATTCTGATGTCATCTTTCTGAGAGTTATATGTAAAGATCATATCACTGTATGCCTTGTTCATTTAAGTAACAGGTCAAATATTAAAATAGTTTTTACATTTCACACTAATGTTCCCAGGTAAACAACTCCTATGTAGTTGAAAATACTGTCTTCCAACACTTTGCTTGTACCATGGTTATTAGAGAAGGAAATTTGTTACACATCTACCAGAATTTTTAAATACTTTCAGCTTCTTTATGGTTTCGAGTTTACTTATGGTTTCATACTGAGAAACATGAATTATTTATTTCTAACTTATCTGAAAATTCTACTACCTCAGAAAGCATTCTCATTTCTATAAAATTGAATACTCAGGTTTGATCAAAAAGAGTAAAGAATTTATTTCTACACAAACATCTGTGTGGCCAGTCATATCAAAGAAAGGAATAGTCTGCTCTTGCTACCCAGAACATTACCTTCCAAATCTCAAAATTGTGTATTTGGTTTGGTGCATAAACCACCCAAATTTTAAAAGGATTATTACATGCTGTCCTAAAGGTTAGAGAAAATGATGATGTTTATTGTGGACTTTTATAAATGCTAAAAACTTAGATGTACAAAGAAAAACTTGAGATGCCACGTCTGTGTCTTTTGCTCTTTGTATTTCCAAACAAAGAAGAACAGCCGTACACTCTGGACCTGAATGATACTCAGTACATGTAGGAGGCTCTTGTGGCTCAAGGTACCTCTGCTGCGGGAAGTAGATATGTTTAAAGCGGTTGTATTTCTTTTGCTTCCCTATTTCTTTTTAAATGCATGTGCATGCAATTTGAAATGAGAAACAGGCCAAGCAGACAGCTCTGTGGGACCAGGTAACATAGACTAGCCCATAAGAGCAAAACATTTAAGAGGTTAGTAATCTTTTGTATACTACTTTGGAATAGTGAGCCAATTGTATGATTAAATGAACTCTTCCAATCCAATAATTAAGCAATTCAAATCTCCCTACATTGATAAAAACCAATATATTCTGATCTAAAGAGTAAAATGAGGATAAATGTGTTACCTTGATCACTCTAGTGATGTGCATGCTTCTGAAACACCTTTATCCTATATTTACCAAAATGTTTTAGTCTTGTGCCCTACTGCATAATAAGAAGGCTTAGAATATTTTTTAAAATTCAACTGATTCTGACTAAAAGGTCAAAAAATACTCTAACCTAAAATATGAAGTCTCAGTAACTTGCCCAGTCTATAATAACATATTACTCAGCCAAAAAAAGGCATTTTTGACTTAGCTGAGAAAAAATAATGAGAGAGCATCAGGAAATTGATTCTTGTTTTCATATTTTCAAAATGTCTTCTGCTTCTCTAAGGATTACTGGTTTAAATAATATTAATAACATGATTTTCTGTCATGCAATTAAAAAACATTTTTCATTGGATTATAGGCATAATAGGAAATAAAACATTCACCGACATTCTTCTTGACTTGGTGACCCTGAACCTTGGAACAAACAACCTTCCTAGTAGTTGGATGCACCTCACTCGGCCTGAAGTAGGTGTCAGTTTTGTTTGGAATTTAAACCTTTGAGAATTTTTATTTGATCAAGTCAGTAGTTTTAAAATAACCAGTACTTGCACAGTAGCTGACATTTAGTGGTCCACCAATAAAAACTGAGTGATTCAATGAATGACACATGCTCAGCATTGGAAGAATGAGTGAGGATGCCATCAGTCAATGACCGGGAGGCTCAGCCCACGAGTTTGCATCTGTTGCTGCCTGATGGAATGATCCTCGGTAGTAAGAGTAGACAATTCTGGCAGTTCTTGCTTTTCATCATATTCTGTTTCTTTAGACTGTGTAAGAAAACAAAGCGGCTAAAGAGTATTTCCCTACCAGGGGGCGGTGTGGCCCTTATACAGCCACCACTATCACTTTTATCCCTCCCCTGTTGACAAGGTGCAAAGTCAACCATGAGACACAGAGACACATGTGTAAAAGACACATGAGACGCAGGCACACGTGTAAATCCACTGGGTAACAGTGAGCAGAAACAAAAATGTCAAAGAGGTGGAAGGTGAAACACATCCCGGGGACTGCCTGGTGGGAAGTGGTTGGGAGAGCTCGAGGGAACGCAAGTCACCACCAGCTCTAATCGCCAGTCCGAGATCCTGCTTTCTTCATCTGAATCTCTTCTGAGAAACATGAGCAACAGAGCTTCCTGATACAGTCATACAAACATCCAATGGCATTTCCTGTTTTCTCCCAGTTGCAGGAGCTAACCTCTTTACTGACAGTAAACTCAGATTTCGTGGACTGGCGGAAGTTCTTGTTAGTGGCTTCGCTGCCTTGGCCCATCGCCCTGGAGGAGGAGCTCCTGAAGACCCTGCAGAGGTTCAAGGCCGTGGATGAGGAGCAGCTGGGCACCATCACCTTCCAGCAGTACATGCAGGTGGCTATCAACACCTAGTGGCGTGAAGACCAGACTACTTTTGGCCTAAGGAGTAAATAGAATCTAACTGGTGATCTTTACCAGAGCAATCCTGGCAGAGAACAGAATCCAGACCACAGAGGACTGAGGAAATGATGAGGCCTCTAGGAAATGAAGATAAGAATAACCAACTCGTTTTTGAGAAATTTGAGTAAGGAAGGAACGAGCATGAAATCTCCTAACTAGGAAGGGCCTGTATTGCTCATTTTGTGTCCATTAATTGAACTCATCCTCTTGCTCACCATTTCATAGTGCTAGCAGACACAAAAGACAGAAATGGATATGGGGTGCCCATTTTGAAACACAGGGTTACCCTCTAGGTTCCTGCATCTCAAATGTTGGCCACCACTGAAAGATCATGCCCCTCCGGCTTCTCTTTCTCCTTCCATAATTATTGGATGGCGTGCTTATCACCGGCCCTGAGGTTCTCACACTCACACACCCGAGCCAGAGGAAATAGCACTTACACGTTGAGAAGGTCCCTTCATGGATGATCAGAAAAAGTGTTCAGCTAACTAGGCTCTGATTTTTCTCCCAAGAGGGACAATTTCTGAATTCTATCACTGTCCTGGACTTACAACTTGTAAAGATGATTTTGTTTAAAAACAAAACAGCAAAGCAAAAACTTACTCGGTTTTTATCATTGGCTTAAGACTTTAAACAGTGGTCATTGTGCAATTACCAGCCTTCACTAGATGCCCATTAACACAGGATATTGATTTAAACATCCTTTTTCACAAACATGAACCAAACAAAGGGTGTTAGCGTTTTTTCACCAAAGTGCCGCACCAACACCAGAAAGTTCCCTTACTGAAGGTGTGACTTTCTTAGAGAAAGCTGGCAGCTGCATTTAATAGAAACTCAGAAACACTTCCCTGGGCACCGCCTATGTTTTGGGAGCAGCTGATTTCTGAGCTCTGCACTCTCCTCTTTCCCACAATTCCCCGCACTTCCCACTCCTGGGGAGCCCCGGGACCAGCAGGCCACTTAGAGAGGCACACTTCACCATCCTAACTTTCACAGATTTCCAACACTCACCAGCTCACAAAAGAAAGGGTTATTTTATGGAAAAAGTCAAAACAGCTTCTAGGGCAACATTTTGTAAGATTTATTGAAAACACCACATTAGAACAGTAAGATAATATCACTGCATTGCTGAAATGAAGTTTTCTGGGAGAAAAAGCCTCTCTACTCTGCTTTTTATTTTGTCTGTCTTTTTTCTTTCTTTCCTTTTCTTTTACTTTTTTTTTTTTTTTACTAATTGCAAGTTCACCACAACAGCCACATAAGAGTGGGCTGATTTCCCCAGCTTCTAAAATGGAATGAGATACAAGGTTTGTGAAGTCAGCTGGGCTGCACACCTCACCTAAGCCACGCGAGCATAAAAGCCCACATGCCCCGTGCTCCCAGCCCTTCTGCAGCCGCTCTAGGCCACCTCCGTGGTGCGTGCATGTTTAGTCACACTCAGGCAGGATTCTTTGATGTTCAACTCTCAACTCATCTTCTATCAGTGAGAATGCAGCTCATTGTAGGCTTAATGAGTCAGATGTTCTAGGATTCAAACAGTACACTACTCATTTTCTAAGGAAAAGAAAAAAATCTTTGGCCATATTTCAGCAAGAGAATACTAATGACATATCCATATTTTTAGGACAAATAGCCTAACTACCCAGTGAAGCAGGGTGTGGTGGGCTGACCCTTGCTTTAGCAATTTAAACCCTACTACACAGGTTCATGTTGACCATTTCATATTGTAAATGTTTTCATGGATGACTTTTCAAAAACCATAAGTTGCTTTCCAGTGAGGTTATTTTTTAATGTGGCCCTCTTATGTATGAAATATTTTGAAAGAGTTTTCTAGCTTATGGAATATTATAAACTTTTAGAAAACTAATATAAATGAGCTCTTGGTTTTAAGAACCAGGCAAGATTTCTGTGCGTTGAGACCACTGGATGTGGAGTTGATAATGGTTGAACGATGGAGAAAGGAGAGGTTCTATTGCTGTTTCTTTATCCCCCTTTGGGCTTCTTTTATCATTTCCTCTCTACTGCTGGTTTTCAGCAATTTGATTATTATGTTCCTCAGTCTAGTTTTTTCTGCTTGGGGTTCACTAAGCTTCTCGCAACTGTGGTTTTTTAGTTTTTATTTAATTTGGAACTTTTTCAGGATATTTTTTTCAAATACTTTTTCTGCACCTTCTGCCTTCTCAAAATCCAGTCGTTTGTTGATTGCCCTATAGGTTACTGATGCTTAGTTCATTTTTTCCAGGCTTTTTTCTCTTTATTTTGTATTCATTTCTATTTCTGTGTCTTCAAGTTCACTGATTATTTCCTCTGCAGAGTCGAATCTGCTGTTAACACCATCCAACGTATTTTTCAGTTCAGGTATGTATTTTTTTATCCCTAGAAGCTCAAGTTCGCTTTATTTAACATCTTTAATTGCTTATTGTATGCGTGTTTTCCCTCATGTCCTTGAACAAAGGAAATATGTTCAGAATAGCCAAGTGAACATATTCTTTATTCATTCTATCATCTCTGTTCATTTCCAGTGATTGATGTTTTTCTTGGCTATAAGTCTTTTTTTCTTTTACCTTTTTTGCATGCCTAGTAATTTTATATTGGATGCCAGGTATTGTGAATTTTATATTATTGGGTGCTCAGTTTTGTATACTCTAAATATTGTCACACTTGTCGTGATGTTACTTGGAATCAATTTTATTATTTCAAGGTTACATTAAAAGTTGTAAGAATGTGTCAAAAACCATTTGACTAGATGTGTGAGGGTTAATTTCTGGGCTCTCTGTTCTATTCCATTGATCTCCATGTATATTTGTATGCCAGTATCACACTGTTTGAATAATGGCAGCTTTGTAGTAAGTTTTGAAATCCGAAAGTGTGAGTTCCTCAGCTTTGTTCATCTTTTTCAGGATTGTTTTGGCTATTTGGTGTCTTTTAAAATTCCATATGATTATTAGAATGGGTTTTTTTAGCTCTGCAAAAAAATGTCTTTGGGATTTTGATAGGGATTGCACTGAATCTGTAGATCACTTTGGGTGGTGTCTGCATCTTAACTGTGCTGTTTTCCATTCCATAAACACAGAATGTCTTTCCATTTATTTTGGTCTATTTTACTTTCTTTAAGCAATGTTTTCTAGCTTTCACTGTACAAGTCTTTCACCTCCTTGGTTAAGTTAATACCTAAGTATTTTATTCCTCTTGATGTTATTGCTAATGTAAATGTTTTCTTAATTTTCTTTTTAGATTATTCATTGCTAGTCTACAGAAATGGAACTAACTTTTATGTGTTGATTTTGTACCTTGTCACTTTTCTGAACTCACTTACAAGTTATAATAGTTTAAAAAAATGATTTCTAAGAGTGGGGCCAGAGCTTCCTTTAGTGCGGTACCCAGTGCCTTGCATATCAGGCGGTCCTCTCACTCGGCCTGGGGGCAACATGACCTCCTCCCAGCCCTGTGTGAGTCTTAGGAATTTTTCGGCCTACTCCCTTATTGTGGTTCTTTCCCCAGCTCCTGGTATTTTACATACACACACATCCACAGATTGGTCCTTCATCGAGAGGTGAGGAGATCCCTCTGCAGATCTCAAGGCCTCTCTCTCTCTCTCTCTTTCACACACACACACACACACATTATGCCCTGAAACTTCTAGCCATCTTGGCCTCCTTCAACTCCGAAATCTGTCTCATCAACTCAGCCAGACCGCCAGGCTCTATCTGGACACCCCTCCTGGCACTGCAGCCCGGAAACTCCCTCTAGGCTGGAGCGACAGTGGGCATTCTCTCCTGCTCTCCTTCTGCCAGCAGCTACTGCACTGTGTTGTCCGCCGTCTAGTGTATGAAAACACATGAGTCATATGTGTTATCCATTTTTCTTATTTATTGAGGCAGGAAGGTAATTCTGAACTGTTAGTCCATCACATTCTAAAGCAAGATCTTACCTGCTCTCCTCATCTCTCTATTCTCCCAGAAAGTGGTACCTACCCTCCAGATTAGTCACTGGCCCAAGGTTGCCTCCTGATCAGTGCAGAAGCACTAACATCCAAAGCCAGGCCCATGCTGGACAACAAGCTGCTTCTGAGTCCTCTTCCTCATAGGCTTTCGCATAGCCAGCATCTCCCAGCCCAGTATCCCTTTGTTCCAAATGAAAATAAAACTCAGTCCTCACCTCTGGGGGGCTGCATCCCCTTACCAACTACCCAATGTCACTGCAGCCTCCTTTCAAAGCACAGGTGATTCTTAGAAGGAAAGAAGGCACAGACCAGACACCAGAGTCAGGTTCAGTAAGCCAGTGCTCTTGGCAGTAGCAGTGCTGGGAGTAGGTTGTCTCTGTGGGATATGGCAAGGGAGTGAGAACTGGCAACAAAATGCTTAGGTAGATGAAGTGCTCACCATGTATAACAATTAGGCTTAATAAGACACAATCTTTGAACCCAAGGAATTTAATAACTGATTTTCAACAGCAGACACAAATTACAACACCCAAAGGAATGAACTAAATGCCAAGTGTAAGATTTGAACAGGTCAAATTAAGTTCATAGCAGAGATCAAGGAGGGCCTCCTGGCAGAGGTGTGATCTGAGCCAGGACTATGTAGCTTACATGGGTGGACAGGAGGTCACCTCACGTAGGAGGGTGATGTGAATGAAAGAGCAAGAGTAGGAAACCATCTGAGCAGAGACTGGTATGACAAGATTACGGTTTTGAGAAGATCGATATGGATGCATGGTACAAACTAAACCAAATAAAAGGAAGACTAGAAATAAGAACATCTCTGCGGTCACTGGTGTGGCCTGAGATGGAGTACTGAGGCTCTGCACCAGTGTGGGAACAGAAGGTAGGGGGAGATGGACGAAGTGCTGCCCAAGGGGCACCAAGGGATTTCGTAATTGGTGTTAGATATGGGCTGAGAAAAAGCGATGTCAGTAAAAGGTAGGCCTTTGAGCGCTTGAATCTGTCAGTCAGTCACTCGACAAAGATTTTCCAACACCAACGATGTGCTCCAGCACCACCCTGGGCCCTGAGAACAGACAACAACACAGGGGGACATGTGACAGGCAAGCTGCTGTCACAAGTGCAGGTCCCCCCCCAGCCCACAAGGAATACTGCTATGCAAGCAAAATCTAGGGCAGCGACCTACGAGCTTCATCCTATGTTCCAAGTTCAAATACCGCTAGCATCCCTACTATGTGGGTTTTCATTTATACATTTTACGTGTGTACTGCTGCATTGATACATTGCATATTGGGTTGGTCAAAAAGTCCACTTAGTTTTTTCCATTAAAGAAAGACACCTTTCTTATTTTCACCAATACCTTTATTGATTTGGATATTTTGAGTATGTCGACTATTGGCTTCTAGTGGGTAGAGGCCAGGGATGCTGCTAAACATCTTCCAATGCACAATACAGCCCATGGCAAAGAATTATTTGGCCAAGATGTCAATAGTACCAAGAAACTTCTCATGCCACATTTGACATGTTTGATCAGTCACAGCATCTCCTCCATATACACTACTCAGATCTTTTTTACATTTTTACCTTCCTTGAAATAATAAAGCATAATAAGCTGAAAATGTTGCATATTTTCTCCCATCTCCAATATTAAAATAGCTACACAAAATTCACCAATTTTGAAAAGCTTTTTAAACGCACACTAATGTGACAGCTGTCACAATACAATGGACCAAAATCATCTCAAATCAAGTTAAAAACAACTAAGCACTACTAGAGCCATTGTATGGAAAAAAATTAAACTTTTTGGCCAACTCAATGCATTATCAAATTTTTTTAAAATAAAAATTGCAAAAGAATCAGCTCAAAATACATGTAAGTGTTAGTTCTAGGGTTTCCCCCTAAATCCCACGGGTTCTTCGGTCCACTGCAGACACCTACCTGCACAAGACGGGTTCAGTATCTGTGGCTTTTAAAGGAACAGTTACATCTCAGTATAATGCAGGAATAATTTTCTTTCTCACTTTGTGTATAGGCCGGTCTCTGGTTCACGGGTGACGAAGACATCAAAGTTCCAGAGGACCCTTTCGAACCCCTGCCATTCAATAGGCAAGGGCATCTTATAGAGGTAATGACTGAGGTCCCTGCGACAGTGACCAATTTCTTTGTTGTTCCTTCCACTTGTGTGACTTGTTTTAGACACACTGCTCCCCTCCGGCTGCTTTGCTGTGTCCCCACAGCACAGGCTTGCACACGCCCCAAGTGACAGCACAGGGGAGTCCTGGGGAAGGAGGCAGGGCCGAACTCTCAGAGCCCTGCCGTTACCTCTCCAGCTGGTCTCGGACAAGGCCCAGGGCCTTTCAGGCTGCTGTCTTCTCACACGTCAGATAAGCCAGGTTGTTACCACATTGGTCTCTAAGTGTCCTTCCAATTCTGAAAGCCTGGGATAAAAACCATCGTTTCACCAATACACGTTTTGGTTCATTTCTTTCTGACTTTGGCTGACACACACAACATACCAAGGGTTTGCCTGCAGTATTGCTCATGGCCTACCAGATTTAGTTATTATCAAAAATGTTATTATCATCAATAGAAATTATTGATGGTGATATTATCATTATAATGGTGGTAGTACGTTGACAAGAGTAATGATGTTAATATTATTATTACCTTTTATTCCCAAAGCCACAATAGAAAGCAATATCTTAAAATCTAAACATTACTCTGACTTGAGTGTAAATGTATAAAATATAAAAATATGCATCACACAGCCAAATTCAGTGAGATATGAGCAGAGCTGAATGGTGGATGTAGATATCACAGCAAACTATGTATATCGATTACTCAATTTCCAGCCAACCATTAGTCCAAAATTGCAGTACAAAATTGAGCACAGCTCCAGTTATAACCTCAAAGTGAGCAATTTCCTTCAATTGGATGCACATCTTTTAAGCACCTCTGCTACATGCTAGCAGACAGCAGGCAGGAGAAGGGGTCAAAGAATGACCCTGAAGGTCCAAGACATGAGGCTGCAGCTACAGGGGCAGCGTTTTGTCCGGGCTGTTGCTGGCTTTTTACAATGTGAACCTGGGGAACTGAGATCCATTCTCCCGTAAAGCTTTGGGAGGCTGGCTGACTCTAAATGGTTTTGTGAACAAATCTGCAGCGACAGAAACAGTTTCTCCGTTCCTCAGGAAGAAACCGGCAGACTGAATAGCACCTTCCTCTCCAGACGGAAGTTTTTAGAATGCCAGCAGGGCCGAGCCTTTTTGTTGCTTTCCCAGGCGCTAAAGCCAGAAGGCAGCCCATGCGAGTCAGCCCCAGGGATGCGAAGCAGCAAAGCAGGGAAGGACCTTTGGGTTCCAAGGAAGGGAGGGGCGCCCACCTGTTGCCATTCAAAGTGCTGAGAAGTGACAGGAAGGAAAGGGACAAAGTTAGAAGCAGAGGCAGGACCATGAAGCCTGATAAGGAAGTGCTCTTAGAGGCAAAGGATGGCTGATGTGTGCACGTGCGTGCGTGTGTGTGTGTGGTGTGTGTGCATTATACGGTGTCCAGAGGACCTAAAACCCGCGAGGAGTGGCGTTCCCCATCTCTCCCAGCCTCAGGCTCTGGGTGCACAGCCCTGTGTAAATCTCGGTGCTCTTGAACCGGGGTCGGAGCCACAGGCTCCACTACTGGCAGGTTCTGAGGTCTTGATGCAGTGGCCTGACCCCTCTGTGCCATCTTGTCCCCTCTCTGATGGGGCTGTGACGGAGGGTTCGTGACTGGTCCTGTACGCTGCGCAGACACTAACCACGCTACCTACATGTGGTGAAAGAGCAGTGGCCAACATACTGAAGTGCGAGGAGAAAACATGGGGCAGGTTTACTCCGCTGGCTGCCGCGTGGATAGGAAAGCCAAATCAGAAGAAAACAGCCCATGAGGAGGGAATCCCGAGGGTCAGGACGCTTGGGCTCTGTTCTCGGCTCTGCAGGACCTGCAGCAGGTCCCTCCGCCCCCGAGTGCCCCTGCATCCTCTCAGAGAGAGGGGCTGGGCTTCCGACTAAGGTTCCTCCAGCACCTCTGCCTCGTCATCCGCACTCTAGTGACCCAGGGCCTGTCTCAAGCCACACCCAGCAGGGGCCCCTGGGGACAGGCCACAGCCACTGTCCAGGGGCTTGGGTGACTGGGAGTGCAGAACCTGGTTGGAAGGCCCAGCTACACCCAAAACAGGAGCCCCGAGAAACATCTGTGCTGCAGTCACACCGTTGTCCCCTGACAGTGACAACGTGCAGTGACTGACATGTTCGGCAGCTCTGTGTCAGCTCCACAGCTCCCCACCCACTCGACACCCGGAGCGGGGACTCCTCTGCGTAAACTGTCCCAGTGTCCTAAAATCCCCAGGGGGTTCCTGAGAGAAGTCCGTTGACTTTTGCTACATTCAAACACACAGTTGTCTCAGTCTCTTCTCCACCACTCTGTCCCTGCGAAATTCTTCCATTGTTCTATGCACATTCATTGAAGCCGAGTCATGGTGTGAAGTACTGACCATTTTTGGACAAATCCCAAATGTCTGTTTTCACCCAAAACTCTTACAAATGTCAGACTGCTGGGTGCACCTGCCCACATGGCATCCCCACTTGAATCCTACAGACGTCTCCCACTCACCAGGCCCACAACCAAGAACCCAATGCCCCACCCCTGCTGCTCCACCCTTCCCTTCTCCACCTAAAGAGCTGTCCAGTCAGCTGGTGGCAACTCTGTCCTTTCCATTGCTTAGGCCAAGACCCCAGGAGTCACATCCAGTCCCTCAGGAAATCCTGGTAGACAGTGTACAGGGTCCGACCCAAATAGCGCTTTTTATTACAAAATCATAAGCATTTAATTCTGTACCATAGCAATATCACACTCAAGCACACCCTATGACACTTTAAGTGAAATTTCCAAATTAAAACTATAAATTATTACACCCGTGTTATTACCCAACCGACCACATTCAAGCAGGCGTTACCCCTGCTGGACCCTGCATGTGCAGGTTCAGACCACGCCTCCCACGCCCCGTTGCTGTCAGGGGGACTGGCCACAGTCAGCTGCAGCGGGCTGGCTGCGAAAGCCTCATGGTGTCTCCCTGTTTCTCCCCTCCCCCAGCTCAGATCACAGATCATGCAGCCTCTTCACCCCGTGTGGCAGCTCGGCCTGTTGCTCAGAGGAAAAGCTGAAGTCCTTAAGAAGCCAACCTGGCTTTGCATCTTCTGGCTCTTTTTCCCTCCCTCACCCCATCTCCTGCTGTTCTGTCCCTGCCTACTCTATCTGTGAGGCCCACTCTTTGCTGAGCAATGGGCTAGGCACCCACCTAAGGACACTGGCCTCAGCAGTGCCCCCCGCCTGGATGCTCTTGCGTGGGATGTCCTAAATCCCTGCCCCCTCCAAATCTTTGTCCTAATTTCAGCTTCTTTCTTTCAGTAGACTGTATTCCGCTTCTTTGTTAACAGAAATAATGATGCGCTGTACCTGCATAGGATTTATCAGAGCAATCCAGTAGAAATACAACTAAAGTTCAGTGATTCATGTAAAAGAAATGGGAAATAACCCCCCAAGGACAATGTCACCTCCCTGTTAGTGTTGGTCCCCTATACTCCTAGTCCTGCAGGAAATCCCCACAGTAACTCAGAGGCGAGGAGAAGATGAAGGGACTCGGGGTCCTGGAGAAACCCAGGCTTGGTGTCGGAGCATCGAGCATCTCAACCCGACCCCGTGCCTGGCTGACGGCAGACACTCAGCGACCATGTGATGGTGGGGAGGCTGAAGGAGTGAACGTACAGGTCCCATCCACCCCGACGCTTCTTTGCTTTGTTAGCTAAACAGATTTTGTGCATTTCATTTTTTCTATAAAAGTTATTTTTATTTGAATTTTCATCAGATTTGTCAAATATCAGATATTTCTTCTTCCAGCTTCATGTGTGTGTAATTAAATTTGCTCGTAGTTGTCAGGGTTGCTGGTGACAGAGAACAGCACGGTAGCTCTGGATCGAGGCACTTGCTTCTCACAGTGCAGACCAGCACCAGGTGCAAGGGAATCACCTAGGTGCTTGCTAAATTCGAGGAACCATAGGCTGCCCCAGAACCACTACCTGATTAGACTCTGCGTTTTTAAAAGGTTCTCCAGGTGACTATATGCACGTGTTTGATAAGAGCCGGTCACCTCCCCAGAAAGCACCTTGTCAGGTTTAGATGGGGCCTGTGTGCCTCAGCTTTGCAGGGCCCCAGGGGATGTTAAGTTCCCAGGTCCTAGCTCCCCGAGCTGACAAATGCACAGGACACTGTTCACAGAGCTGACTGTCCCTTCCATCCTTAGAATGAAGGAGAGACTTGCCAAACAAAGCGATACTCAGTGGTCAGCAGGCTCTCTCCCTGCAGGTGAGCCCACACTGGAAGAAGCCACCTTATTGTGAGTAGTTCATGTACGAAGTTCAGAGCAAGGTGGGCCAGTGTAAAGAGGTTTATGGCTAGAGTCCTGGTGTCTCTGGGCATTGTTCTCTTCCCTTCTCTGCCACAGAGAGGGATGTACCAGATGCTTCATGTTCCGGAGTCAGGGCCTAGTTTGTCAAGGTGGCACTGAGGACAGACAGAGGGGTCCTTGCTCTTGTGGCCCCCTTTCCCTGCTTTACAGGGAGGCCCCACCCTTTTTCTTTAGTGGCACATTCTTTCCTAAGTACGTTAATACCATTGATGTGCACATGGTTTTCTTTACCATTAGAACTCACTCCACAACCTATTTTTAATGTTTTTTTCATGTTTTTTTACTTAGCGTACTCTTTATTCAGTACCATTTGTTACGTTAGTTTTACTGATTCAGTCCTCAGAAAGTGACCTTATTCTAAAGCTGCTGGAGGAAGGGCTTCGTCGCCTCTCTTTTGACTATTGTAGGCATGCGTTATCTGCTTGGTGAAATTCCTTTCCTGTGACAGTTTTTCTTTAGGCTGTTTGCTGACTGTGAGAAGGACCCACCCCTGCTGGACTACACGTGGATGCTGCTTTATTTTGCTTGCCACCCGGACCCCGTGGAAGGGGTCTACAGGGCCCTCAGCGTGGCCACTGGGACTCATATCTTCCAGCCATTTGAAACTGCTACTATTGCTGCAGAAGAGGTAACTGAGTTCCCGAAAGGGACTCGCACTGCGGTCTGGAGGGGGTGGCCAGAGATCCTAAACCTCCAACAGCAAAGACCGTGTCCTTTCCATTTTCCTATTTTCCTGGGCACCTAACACAATGCTGTATATATACTGGGTCTTCAAGAAAACTTTATTCAATTGGACTAAGAACCGGTGCCCACTGTCCATAAAATGCTTCTATAGTAAAGTCAAAGTTTGCTCAAAGTTCCTGGCTAGCATCAAAGTGTCCCTGGAAAGGACCTCCTTCATTGGTAGGCAGTGCTCACCCTGATCTATGAGAAAGAACTGGACAGCGACACAATCAATTTGTCACACTCTAGGGGAATTCTGTGTCAAACCAATTCCAGCCTCAGACGTACCCCGCCTGTATGTCACACTGATCGTGTTTCAGGCCAAAGCCCAGCCACCTGCAATCCACAGACACTTGGTGTCACCTGTATCTGAGGACAAAGAAGCTTAATCTCCAATAGAATCTCCATTCCTCTTAGACTTCTAAGGGGTTGGCATTCCCTGGCTTTTTCAGGTGGAAAAGCCCCAGAACAGGGTAATAATGTACTTACTAGGTGCCCGCTGGCATGAGTTTTTAACTCTTTGGTCTTTCCTCAATCTTTTGGGGATAGAGCTGTGACCCTCAGGGTCCAATGCCTTCTCCTGTTCTTCCTTGGTAGACTGTGAGGGATGGAGTGACCCCCAGTCCAAATCCCTCAGACACCCCTTTTCCCTTCATGCATGTTGTCAGAATAGGGTATGCTGGGTCCCTCAGGGGGCAGGGGGTAGAATGGGACATCCCTGTGACAGCTTTCACATGCAGGAAGAAATAGGCTGTCTCGGACACAACCCTAAATTGTGTCCCTGAGCAGATGGACCGGCCGTCCTTCCCCTCCCATCAGGGCCAGAGCAAGGCCAGAGAGACGCCAGGTGCACTCACATCTCAGGTGTCTCTGTGGAGAGACACGTAAACAGAGGCCTGGATAAGGGGAGGGAGTCTTGCCGGTCTCTGAAGGAAGAGCACCTCGAGTGAAGACCGCCGTTACTGTGAAAGCCCTAAAGCGGTGTCATGCCCAGTGTATTCTGAGGGACGGAGAGTCAGACATTGTGGTTGGACAGGAGTGAGCTGGAGGAGTGGCCGGAAAGCAAAAGTGACAGGAAAAGAGCTCAGAGGCCTGGACTCTGCCGAGAGTTGGGACGAGAAGTCACTGGAGCCCGGACATCTCACGGAAAATGTGTGGGGTCTCCCTGGCTGCTGTTCTGAGACCAGACTTCAAGGGGCGAAAGAGACAAGGAGAGCTAGCTATTCAGGAAGGGTTTGCTTATCTATTGAATTCTTCTGCTATTTCTACCTTGAGTTGGGGGCACCATGTTACCCCAAAGCAGTTGCCACATAACAACTAATGTTTGCAAACATGGCAGGAACGAAGGGAGGAGGAGAAAGGAAAGGGAGTAGACTCCCACCTGAAAGTAAAAGCAGAGGAGAGAGAAGGTGAATCAGGATCCAGGAGTCTGCAATGAGCCAGACAGATCGGGAAGACAAAAGCGGGCCCTAGAACTGTTGCCACAGCAACAGACGGCTGCCTTGGTGGGCAGCAGCCGAGCCAGCTAGTGCAGGGCCCCGAATCCCTCCTATCCCTGAATCACTCGTGCAGAGTCAGCCACTGCCCCACCCGGGAAGAAGCTGGAGTCCTTCTCTCAAGCTCTTTGAAAGTCCAAGGACACTGCCACACCAGAACCAACCCACAACCGCTGACCAACAGTGAACCCATGAGAGGTAGGGGATGGAGCACGTGGGTCCCACGCCACACGTACAAGCCTGCTCGTGGCTTGCAGTGAATCCTGGGAGCTTCTGACAAACAAGATCTACCACCTCCCTCGCCCTTGCTTCCAGCCTGTGCTGCCGTCCTGCCTCCATGACGCTGCTGTTTCTGGGCCCTCTCCAGCTGTGTTCTAGTTTCCTGGGCAACCTCATCCCAGGAGGCCACAATGAGCCTGCTCAGAAATAACACCTCCAGCACATCCGTATTCATTCCCAAGGCTCTGAATCAGGTCTCTGCTTTTGCTTTCCACACAAACAACTAGAAATCTACCCCAACATTTCCGTTTTTCTCACTCTGTTTCCAAGACTCAGACTTCTATTCAACATGGCACAGACTTCCTGTTTAATCCACTTTTCCCTGGGTAATTTCAAAGACATTCAAGAGCAAAGCATAAACAAGTATGCACTAGTCCCAGGGAAACTTGTAATGAGTTGACACTTTCAGAAATGTTTTCCTGACCGATGTGGCCTGAGGTTACAGTGTTGGGATTTAGTAAGCTGTGAGCTTGAATCGTGCACATTTTGAATCTTGTCGAAGCACCTTGGCAGAGTGTTCGAGACAGGGTTCAAAACGCAATAGTTTCTGTTCTGCACTTCACCCACATAAGCCGCGTTAGCGACTTGTTCTGCCTCTGAGACGTGGGGCCAAACTGATGGAACGTGGAAATGCAGGCCCAGGCGCCTTTCCGGGGAAACATCTGTCAGGAGTCCTCCAGGGCCACCTCTGAGAGTGAGCCGCTCGTGACCCAGTATTCGCTGATGCCGTCATCGGTTGATAATATGACTCGCAGAATCTTGATGTCACTAATAACTGCTCATTCAGAAGCACTGGCTTTTCTCCAATCCCACATCCCTGGTTTTGCTCACACACCTACATTTAAAATTGTGATCCTCCCGACATCGGTTGGAGACAGCGTCCCTCTCCAGCATGCCCTGCAGCCTGGCCGGGACACTGTGCTGCCGCCCCGGCCCCGGTCTCAGCCTCGTTCCCCTCCCTCTGAACCACTGGTTCTATTCTGTTCCAGCCCCTTGGGGAGCAAGGAGCAAAAATAGCACAAGTTTTAAAAGCATTTTCTGATATCGATAAGTTAAGGATTCTTCACTAAGATTTTAAATGTTCAAGTTGTTGCCTTTGAGCTAAAATAAAAACCTCATTTATCCCATGATGATTATGCCAGGCCTTTGAAAAGTCGGTCCCACTGTCTGGGACTAACGCAGAGAGAGCAGGTTCCTCCTCTGGTTGTTCTCTATCGCCTGCCCATCTGGCCTGACTAGTCATCCGCTTGCCTGTGGGCTGTCTTTACGTGTCCACACAGCACCTCTGCCACATCTGAACAGAAGTTCACTCATTCCTCACTCACTCAGCAGGCGGTTTTACCTCTCCACTGTGTTCATCCCACCACAGTAAATGTTGGATTCTCCTAGGAAATTACTGATGGGTAGCCAGCATCGCATTCCCCAAGCTGCCCAGGTGGAAACAAAAAGGCCAGTTTCCCATTTCTGCCATGTGGCGTTTCCATTGTTTAACACGAAGAGGAGGAGAGTGGGAGTGGAAGGTGCTAGTGTACAGGATCGCTCTCTCCCAGGGGCCTAAAGAGAAAAGGATTAGCCATGTCGTCCTTGATGGGAAAGGTGATCGGCACCACGAGAGCCCCAGTGACCACCAGTCCCCACAGTCCAGCTCCGTTAGTGTGTTAGGACCATTTACATTTCAGCACAGCCGGGCATGGACCCTTCAGGTGGGCAGTTTGTGCCAGGAGGGGAGGCAAAAGAAGCCGAATAAGCTCTTACAAACCTGGGTGAGGTTCTGAAAGCTGCAGGCTGTGACTTCACTAACGCGGTAAAAACAGCTGTCGGGCTGGCTGACGCGAACTTCAACAACTTCGGTGCTGTCAGTGAAATCTACAAGCAATGTGGCAGAGTCATTCTCCTGCGAGAGCTGCCACCGGGTGGCTGCTTCGCCCAGGGGAGGCCGTGCTGGCGGCCCAGCCACCGCTGTCCCAGGCCCTGTCACAGCTGCCTCACTCTAAGTGAGCCGGGTGCTGTGTAGCCTGGAATTTTCATAATGCCTTTAAGTTAACGTCTCAGTTTTTATAACTGGCACTAGGAAGTGTAAGACTGACTAACATATCTGCAGCGTTATGGAAATACCATATAATAAGAGGAACTGAACATAAATTGAAAATGAGATGATGAATGAACCAGTGACTGATATATGATAAATTTCATTCATGCACTTGTATTGCTGGATGGGAGAAAAAAGAGCACACCTAGTTCAACTAAATCATTTGAACTTAGTGTTGTGAAATATTTCATTGTCATGTCAGATATATGATTCTGCTTCTATCTGAATAAAATTAAGGATTTAGGTTTGAGTGGTAGAAGTAAAGGAGAAGGAAGTAGACCGAAATTTTATATGGCTAACATTTTTCTAATGGAAATAGAATAGACATGCAGATTTTCCAAAAAATCAATAAAATAAAGAAGCTGGATGGATAGATAGGTAGGTAGATTGATAGATGATAGATAGATAGATAGATAGATAGATATACTTAATTCTATCTATCTGTCTATCTATCACCTAATGGAGCATTCTCTCTCTCTCTCTCTCTCTCTCTCTCTCTCTCTCTCTCTCTCTCTCTCTCCCCCCCCCAATTAGATTTAATCCCCAGTTTACCAAAGGATATAGAAATCTAAGCCTCACAGAGTTAGGGAAAATGCAGGGCCACCAGAAGCTTAGCTTTGTGCTGCATCATAACCTCTCTATACATGGAACTTAAGGAGCTATTGGGAAAGAACAATTACGACCTATGCACTTAATGCTTCTCCTGAATTCAATATTTAAAGACATTGGCACCCTTCTGTTATTTTAAGTCTAAATTAGTGCTTTTCCTCCCGGAGGTAAAGGAGAACCAGCACTCAGGTGTCCTCTGACATCAGGCCCACCCACATCCCGGTGATGCCTGTTTTTCTACAGCAAATCACCAAATACCGATGACCTCATCATCAGAAACACACACATATAAGCAAACACACATTTATTACGGTAAATACAGTAAATACAATTCCACTGTAGACAATTTGGGGTGCATAAAACAAAGCGGGAAAGAAATCACGCACGCCACAAACCCGAAGTAGCCACTCTTAACTCTTTAATGCACCTGTTTCCTTTTTCACTAAGAAGTATAGACATTCAAGGAAATGAAGGCCCTGGTGTACTCACCACTCTGTGTTCTGTGTTCTTTCTGTACTCAGTCTGTATGTTTTCTCACATCATTAGGTAATCAGTTTCTAAAGCAAAATTTTCATGGCCGTATAGTCTTCCATCACAGAAATAGACTATAATTCGTTACCAACGTTACATTTTTTGAATTGTAGGTTTCCTATAAACAACATTGCATGTGCATCCACATACAAAAGTTGTGTTCGCATGAATATTTCTTTAGAATAAATTCCCGGAGCTGTAATTACCGGGTCAAAGAGTAGGAGTATTTCTTGGGCTTTTGCTACGTAAGAATTTACCGCAGAAACGCATGCCCTCCACGCCGTACTCAGAGTGTCAGTGCCTGAGCTCATGGCTCTTGGACCCGTTTCAAAGAGCAGCACTAAGAACCCCAACATGACTTTCTGTATTCCATTGGCTTTCTATTTTGCCTTCTGAGTGTTTACTCGGGTTTAACTTCCAGTATCTAAACAAATGTTCACTTCACTAAGAATCCAGCAAACTTGAGAAAGGAACTTGCCATGACCTCTCATCTGCGGTCAATTTCTCAGTCAAATCCTGTTAAAAGTTTACAGCAATGAGAAGTCTGACACCAGTGACAAGAATTCATTCCAGTGCCGTTTGTTCGGGGATGCGGTGCACCTGGCAATGAGCCAGCGCGTGTGTGGTGACCGATAAGTGACACCCCACACTGGGGCCTCTGTAACCCGCCAGCAGAACTGGTCTGTGATTTTCCAGTTCACCCAACAGAGTCGCTTCTAAGACTTTGTTCAGCCAGCTTGTGGCAGACACGGTCATTCCATGGCAAGAAAAGCATGTGACAAAATCGCTGGTGTGTAAATGTCTCTATTCCTGGCAAGACGTTGGTCTGACTTCACGTTCTCTTCATTTGTTGGTGCAGAACTACTCCCTGACCGACATGCGTCCAACGCAGGAGTATCCCGAAACCGAGGGAAAGGTTATAAGTGAGAAAAGGGAATTAAGAGGGGAAAGGGAGGCGAAGGAAGAAGAAAGGCCTGCTAACGCCAACGCTGAAAAGATTGCCATGGAAACGCTGCTCCAGGTGTTCCGAGGAGAAAACGAAGGTCAGGGCGCTAACCAGCCGGTCAGCGCCCTGAGGAGGCAGAACATCTATGCAGAGGTTGGTTAGACGTGGTGGAAGGGGCGGCCCGTGCCTAGGAAAACCTGCCCCAAATTTGACCAAATTTTTATGGAATGTCTTCCTTAAGTACAAACCATTTTTTTAGCATTTGCAGGATTGTAAAGTTAATGAATTTCATTTTTCCCCCTTTTCAAAGAACTTCATAAAAGTATTTCAGGACCTGGGTGCCAAGAATCTGGAACCAGTGAAAGTTGCTCTTCTTTTGAAGCACCCTTTTATCCAGGACCTGATTTCAAGTTATCCGGACTATAAAATTCCCGTGAGTATTTCCCAACAGCATCCTGATTTGGCTGGGCTCAGGCTCCGAGTGGAGTGGGCCATTTGAGACGGGGACTAGCAGAAGGGGGAAGAAGCCGGGCTTGGCCAGAGCAGGGTCTGGGGAAGCTAAGCTGGTAATAGCGTCAGGTCAGACGGGCCAGCCTACAACACCCAAGGGCAGCAAGACAAGCACAGTGGGGATGGCGATCAGTAGTAGGGATACTCTCAGTACTGTAGGTAGAACCAAAAACACCAGGGGTAGTACTCCCAGTACTATGGGTGGTTCTAGAAACACCAGGGGTAGTACTCCCAGTACTGTGGGTGGTACTAGAAACACCAGGGGTAGTACTCCCAGTACTATGGGTGGTTCTAGAAACACCAGGGGTAGTACTCCCAGTACTGTGGGTGGTTCTAGAAACACCAGGGGTAGTACTCCCAGTACTGTGGGTGGTACTAGAAACACCAGGGGCAGTACTCCCAGTACTGTGGGTGGTACTAGAAACACCAGGGGTAGTACTCCCAGTACTGTGGGTGGTTCTAGAAACACCAGGGGTAGTACTCCCAGTACTGTGGGTGGTTCTAGAAACACCAGGGGTAGTACTCCCAGTACTGTGGGTGGTTCTAGAAACACCAGGGGTAGTACTCCCAGTACTGTGGGTGGTACTAGAAACACCAGGGGTAGTACTCCCAGTACTGTGGGTGGTTCTAGAAACACCAGGGGTAGTACTCCCAGTACTGTGGGTGGTTCTAGAAACACCAGGGGTAGTACTCCCAGTACTGTGGGTGGTACTAGAAACACCAGGGGTAGTACTCCCAGTACTGTGGGTGGTACTAGAAACACCAGGGACAGTACTCCCAGTACTGTGGGTGGTTCTAGAAACACCAGGGGTAGTACTCCCAGTACTGTGGGTGGTACTAGAAACACCAGGGGTAGTACTCCCAGTACTGTGGGTGGTACTAGAAACACCAGGGGTAGTACTCCCAGTACTGTGGGTGGTACTAGAAACACCAGGGGTAGTACTCCCAGTACTGTGGGTGGTTCTAGAAACACCAGGGGTAGTACTCCCAGTACTGTGGGTGGTTCTAGAAACACCAGGGGTAGTACTCCCAGTACTGTGGGTGGTTCTAGAAACACCAGGGGTAGTACTCCCAGTACTGTGGGTGGTTCTAGAAACACCAGGGGTAGTACTCCCAGTACTGTGGGTGGTTCTAGAAACACCAGGGGTAGTACTCCCAGTACTGTGGGTGGTTCTAGAAACACCAGGGGTAGTACTCCCAGTACTGTGGGTGGTACTAGAAACACCAGGGGTAGTACTCCCAGTACTGTGGGTGGTACTAGAAACACCAGGGGTAGTACTCCCAGTACTGTGGGTGGTTCTAGAAACACCAGGGGTAGTACTCCCAGTACTGTGGGTGGTTCTAGAAACACCAGGGGTAGTACTCCCAGTACTGTGGGTGGTTCTAGAAACACCAGGGGTAGTACTCCCAGTACTGTGGGTGGTACTAGAAACACCAGGGGTAGTACTCCCAGTACTGTGGGTGGTTCTAGAAACACCAGGGGTAGTACTCCCAGTACTGTGGGTGGTACTAGAAACACCAGGGGTAGTACTCCCAGTACTGTGGGTGGTTCTAGAAACACCAGGGGTAGTACTCCCAGTACTGTGGGTGGTTCTAGAAACACCAGGGGTAGTACTCCCAGTACTGTGGGTGGTTCTAGAAACACCAGGGGTAGTACTCCCAGTACTGTGGGTGGTTCTAGAAACACCAGGGGCAGTACTCCCAGTACTGTGGGTGGTACTAGAAACACCAGGGGTAGTACTCCCAGTACTGTGGGTGGTTCTAGAAACACCAGGGGTAGTACTCCCAGTACTGTGGGTGGTTCTAGAAACACCAGGGGTAGTACTCCCAGTACTATGGGTGGTACTAGAAACACCAGCGGTAGTACTCCCAGTACTGTGGGTGGTTCTAGAAACACCAGGGGTAGTACTCCCAGTACTGTGGGTGGTTCTAGAAACACCAGGGGTAGTACTCCCAGTACTGTGGGTGGTTCTAGAAACACCAGGGACAGTACTCCCAGTACTATGGGTGGTACTAGAAACACCAGGGGTAGTACTCCCAGTACTGTGGGTGGTTCTAGAAACACCAGGGGTAGTACTCCCAGTACTGTGGGTGGTTCTAGAAACACCAGGGGTAGTACTCCCAGTACTGTGGGTGGTTCTAGAAACACCAGGGGTAGTACTCCCAGTACTATGGGTGGTACTAGAAACACCAGGGGTAGTACTCCCAGTACTGTGGGTGGTTCTAGAAACACCAGGGGTAGTACTCCCAGTACTGTGGGTGGTACTAGAAACACCAGGGGTAGTACTCCCAGTACTATGGGTGGTTCTAGAAACACCAGGGGTAGTACTCCCAGTACTATGGGTGGTACTAGAAACACCAGGGGTAGTACTCCCAGTACTATGGGTGGTACTAGAAACACCAGGGGTAGTACTCCCAGTACTGTGGGTGGTTCTAGAAACACCAGGGGCAGTACTCCCAGTACTGTGGGTGGTACTAGAAACACCAGGGATAGTACTCCCAGTACTGTGGGTGGTACTAGAAACACCAGGGGTAGTACTCCCAGTACTGTGGGTGGTACTAGAAACACCAGGGGCAGTACTCCCAGTACTGTGGGTGGTTCTAGAAACACCAGGGGTAGTACTCCCAGTACTGTGGGTGGTTCTAGAAACACCAGGGGCAGTACTCCCAGTACTGTGGGTGGTTCTAGAAACACCAGGGGTAGTACTCCCAGTACTGTGGGTGGTTCTAGAAACACCAGGGATAGTACTCCCAGTACTGTGGGTGGTTCTAGAAACACCAGGGGTAGTACTCCCAGTACTGTGGGTGGTACTAGAAACACCAGGGGTAGTACTCCCAGTACTGTGGGTGGTACTAGAAACACCAGGGGTAGTACTCCCAGTACTGTGGGTGGTTCTAGAAACACCAGGGGTAGTACTCCCAGTACTGTGGGTGGTTCTAGAAACACCAGGGGGTAGTACTCCCAGTACTGTGGGTGGTTCTAGAAACACCAGGGGTAGTACTCCCAGTACTGTGGGTGGTTCTAGAAACACCAGGGGTAGTACTCCCAGTACTGTGGGTGGTTCTAGAAACACCAGGGGTAGTACTCCCAGTACTGTGGGTGGTTCTAGAAACACCAGGGATAGTACTCCCAGTACTGTGGGTGGTTCTAGAAACACCAGGGGTAGTACTCCCAGTACTGTGGGTGGTACTAGAAACACCAGGGGTAGTACTCCCAGTACTGTGGGTGGTTCTAGAAACACCAGGGGTAGTACTCCCAGTACTGTGTGTGGTACTAGAAACACCAGGGGTAGTACTCCCATTACTGTGGGTGGTTCTAGAAACACCAGGGGTAGTACTCCCAGTACTGTGGGTGGTTCTAGAAACACCAGGGGTAGTACTCCCAGTACTGTGGGTGGTTCTAGAAACACCAGGGGTAGTACTCCCAGTACTGTGGGGCTACCTTGGATCTACAACAGAAGTCTAGAGGTAGATAATTAAAGCTGGGTGGATGGCAGTATTAGTGTTCTGGGTCATTTCAGCCACCTAATGACCTTAGACTATGATTGAGAAGCCTGAAGAATAAAGTCCCCCTTGCGGAAGAGAAGTGAGCAGACCGTGACCCTCAGCCAACGCTGCCACATTCGTGGTGCACACTGTCTGTGCAGTTCACACGGTGTCAGTGCCTAAGACAGCTTGGCTGCCAGTTCCATCAGGGAAAGAAACGGTGCTCAAGATGGGGAAACTGAGGACAAAGCCCATAAAGACTGGACCAATCCAACAGAAGGAAGGGGAGGGGAGGGGAGGGGAGGGAGAACTGCACCTCAGAACTCACTTAGTAACCAAGCAAGTTCAACTCCACATGCTGAACGTACCTCCCTGGGACCAGTCTCCCATCTCCAACAGCAGGAGCTAAGAAGGGCAGAGTGAGGTGGGTTGTTACGACCACCTCACTTGCCACTTCAGCAGCACGAAGACCCCTTAGTTGGCTCCTGCTAGTTTATTAGTCTTCCTTAAGACTAATAAAGTGTTCAATAAGTTTAGGATAAAAGCACTTTCACTTTGATAAACTACAGGTGGTATAAAGTACATTTCTCTCTGGTTCTCGGTGCCCAGAAACTACCCATGCCCAGAAATGAGACTATCTAGATTTAAATATCTTTGTGTCTGGATTTATTTGTCCTAAGTTGGTGATCCTTTTTTATACACATTTCCTTACATGTGTTGATACCAACTCACCCTGATTTCTAATATGCTAGCAGACCTAAGCACTTCCCATAGGAAAGCAGGATCACAGCATTTAAGAACACAGTCTCTGGAATCGGAAAGTCAGGGGACTGACTCGGGGGCCTACCACTCCCGAAATGCCTGACTTTACCTTTTCTTGATCCTGGCTCACTCCTCTGTTCAGTGGGGACGACAGCCGTTGCTACTGAAAGTTTTTTTTTAATTTAGTTATTTTTCAAGTACAGTTTTTTTGTCTATTTCTCCCATCCCAGCCTCCCCCGCCCTGTGCTCCCCACCTCCCTCCCATTTCCACCCCCCTTAGTTCTTGTCCCTGTGTCCTTCCTATTTGTTCCTCCAAATCCCTCCCCCTTTTTCTTCTTAAATTCCCTTCCCTCTCCCCTCTGGTCACTGTCCCCTTGTTCTCTATTTCAGTGTCTTTGTTTTTATTCTGCTTGCTTGTTTGTTTTGTTGTTTAGCTTCCTGTTAAGGGTGAGATCATATGGTATTTGTCTTTCCACACCTGGCTTATTTCACTCAGCATAATGCTTTCCAGTTCCATCCATGTTGTTGCAAAGGGTAGTAGCTCCTTCTTTCTCTCTGCTGCATAGAACTCCACTGTGTATATGTACCACAATTTTTTGATCCATTCATTTACTGTTGGGCACCTAGGTTGCTTCCAACTCTTGGCTATTGTAAATTGTGCTGCTATGAACATTG